CCAATTAGATTGACACAATTTTTCTCCATCTGGAAACATTCTATTAATCGGTCATGCTCTGTTGCCACCTTTTGAAGACATCCTGGTAAACATTTTGGCTGTCTTTGCGGAAAGCTCGAAGTGTCCTTGGATTAATTCAAAATCTCCTCAGAAATGTCTTCATGTAGATATCAAAACTTCCCGCCAGAGAAACCTAACAAAGAGACCTTTTACTGGGTCCACTTTCGTGTACATAGCTTCCCTGATGTATTTCTGTAGAGGAAAATGCCTTCTGTAACGGCATAAAGAGAATACGGTGAACGAGAATATCTGAATTGTATTTGATTGCTTAAGTTGTACGGTGCGTTACTCATAGCAGCGGACGGGGTTGGGGTGAAACCTTTAATGAACGCAAATGTGAGTCGACTGAAGGAAGATATGTAGTTGTTTTGTTTTGACAATAGAATGTAGATAAGTTTAAACTATATTTTTCTATAGTTGCAGAAAATTTTTTTTAAAGGTTTATGCTTCGTCTCCGTAGTGGAATTATCGTTTGGTTTCATGACTTTAAAACAATTGGCGTGAAGAAAAATGAAAAAATTTAGACGGAAATAAAATAAAAGTTGAATTGAAATATAGCTAACATTACCGGAAATACAACAACTTATCCCGAACAGTTAGGATGAAAATCCTTTTTTTTATTCAAGAGTTCTTAACAATAACAATTATCGAAAAAAAAAAACCATCAAGTATGGGTACAGCTAGTTTCGAGCGATACATGTGTCTTCTTCCCTCGCGCGCTCCCCAGAACCCACTCTGTGTTTTCCATGGGGTCATTTTCAGAAGCTACAAAATATAGGGAGTTTTTATCTCTGAATAGGCTGTCATCTCTCTTGTCTCGGAGAGGCGTTAATTTAGCCGACAGTCAATTCATTTAAGGTTTCAGTTTCTATTTTATTAACTTTTTCCGTCCATGAAATTAAATACAAAAGGTTATCTGATAATTTCGCCCATGACAAGTTTAAGTCCCCGGTAAGAGAAAGTGTCATTTTTTATTTGCTTTTCAGATGTATAACGAATAATGATTTTTCTCACTCTCGTTTTCGCGCTTGCCTCAGAAAGAATTGCCAGTATAAATGTATTTTTAATGTGAACTTTACTCTTGCGTTTATAAATCCTACGATTCATTTAAAAGAGGGTTACAAAAAGTTAAATGCGGGCATAGATCCCACTTGATATTCATGTCTCAGTTCTGGGACAGCAGCTTTACTGCTAACTGCTCCAATAACCGCGGCGAGCAACCAACCTTTGCTGGAAATTGTTGAAAGAAGACAGTAAAAACATTTGAATTTATTTTTCACCTTAAAGGTCATGAACGAGTGGGAGAGTTTCATTTCGCTGGCCAACGTGTTTATCCACATGGGCATGGTTAACAGTAGATTTAGACATTGTTTCCTCCATGTCTTAAACCAACTCGACCTATAGAGGAGGGGAACGAGCAATGGCTGTGAGTTTGCCGTTACGGTCTTACATTTCCCTGTCGTATCAAGTTCCTAGGAGGTAGCGAGGTTAACTTTCACCTAAAGACACCGGAGACAAGGTTTTGATAAAGGAAACCAACACAAGTTTCGCTCCTGTGAAAGAGATCTGCTCGCTGAATCTGTTCTTTTAGGACTAAACTGCATCACATAACGGTCAATCAAAGCATTTACTTCAATCTTGTCGATATCACCCACTGCCCAGCCGACCTAGTGTCAAGACACTCACTGCTAAGTAAATAAACTCGTTGCTTATTGCACCCCAGTTTGTTTTCTTCTTAGTTTCGTAACCCGTGAGATTTATATGGTATTATCTCTTATTCTGATTGGCCGATTCAATCTCCTCGGCTTTAATTTGAATTAACGTAGTGCCTACCATGCCTGAAAAATAGTACTGTGACGGAACCAATCTGTGACGATGTTAAAATGACTTGACACTTAAAAACAAAACCACTCTGAGATAGTACTGGCTCGTAATCGATACCTCTTGGCTCCGTCGACTACAAACATTTTTTTAGGTATGCGATGGAATTTTGTGAAAACAGTAATTCTGAGAGAGAAGGTTCTCACTTCATAGTCTTTCTGCCTCAAGGCCGAATTATGTGCCAAGAAAGCTCACTAAAACAAAAAATGTTTGAAGAGGTTTTCCCTTCTCTGATTTCGTGTCATCGAAGCGGTACTCACCAACATGTTCATGAGAATGATAGGCATTCCCAACACGAACATGAAAAACAGGATGTTGGTCAGTGCGGCATATTCCAGTTTGTCCCAAGGCATGAACAAGTCAGCATAGTTGAGTTCACCGAGAGTCATCACAAAAATGGTCATCATGGAGTATGGAAAGGTGGCATATGGCAAGAGAAGTAAAACGACAATCCATTAAGTAAATGATATGGGTGTTACTGATAAATAAATACCAGTATGCGTGAAGACTGCATAACAGGCTGGTTGAGTGATCTGCTGCCGTATGACAACTGAAATGCTGATTGACTGAGTACTTGACTGAAAACTGGCGGACTGATTGATCGACTGACTAGCTGGATGAATATTGGACCGGCTTACTGACTGACTTATTGACTGTTCGACTGATCGTTTGACTGGCTTGTTAGCTGACTGAATGTCTAACTGATACACCAACAAACCGGCTCATGGACTGACAGACTAGTGCACTTCTTCAATAAAATACGTGCGAAAAAATGACGCCAGACTTTGAATCTCACAGTTTTTTCGTGTAAGAGCAGGCAAAATGTGCTGCTAAAAGCCATGACAAACATGAAAAAAAGGAGCAGGACCTGGAAAACACTGATGGTAATCACTTTAGTTTTACACCACAAAACAATTGAGAGATTATTTTCGTGTTATTCTCTCGTTAGAGCTCACGCCTGTGTTGGTCTGCTGTGTAAGAAGTTCGCCGTAACTACGACATATTTTTATTTTAT